TTAAAGTATTGAAGATATAACGATGTTAGTAAATCCGCGTTTTTCTATCTTTACATTATCATATTTCTTTTTCTAGGAACTATATCATTATAATCCTTTCGGTGTCTTAAACTAGAATGATATGCGCCTCCAATTATGCGTATATGATGCCTAATCTGATATTGGTATAGTTTTAACAGGCCCTACAAAATCGCGCATTTATTATCCGCGCAGAGAAAGATTCAACATGCGAGAAACTTTTTCGTTATTGCTATAATTGTATCACATATATCGAATGAATTGTGACCAAAGGACACAAAAATGTTCTTCAGAAGGAATTTTTAAGAAATGGTCTCTCGTTTCCTTTTTTCAGCAGCTGAAGTAAATAGCGCGATTTCAGAATAAGTGAACGCGCAAAGGAATTATTATGTTTCAAATAATTGTTAGTAATCGATTTTCAAATTGTGTTTGTGAGATTCAAGAGGAGTATTTTGCATCAAAGATTTTGTTTCGTCGTGTAATTTAGCAGAAGATGAGGCGATGTTAAATATAAGTATTGAAATATTCTAAGATTTAGAAAACGACACAACAGTTACTTCTGAAAACGAAAAAAAAAAACGGCACTGCCTATTCCTTACAAGCTGTACTTTTTACTAAAACTGCTGTAAGTTGGATAGAAAATGCTATTTTTTAAAACTTCCTTATTCAAAAGGTTATTTTTATTTATTCATAGAATGAAGATGAAAGCCTACGATACTTACCAGGCCTCTTAGGCGGACAATGCAAATTTCCCATTTCACTTTAACACGAGAAGGTATAACTAAAATACTTTATGTACTGCAAAATTCATATTAACGAAGATATAAGATATACTCCATACTTTTGACTGATAATATCTTTAATTTTATAATTTAATGTAAATTTGAATCTCACAAACACAATTTGAAAATGGATTACTAACAATTATTTGAAACATAATAATTCCTTTGCGCGTTCACTTATTCTTGAAATCGCGCTATTTACTTCAGCTGCTGAAAAAAAGGAAACAAGAGACCATTTCTTAAAAATTCCTTCTGAAGAACATTTTTGTGTCCTTTGGCCACAATTCATTCGTATATGTGATACAATTATAGTAATAACAAAAAAGTTTCTCGCATGGTGAATTTTTCTCTGCGCGGATAATAAATGCGCGATTTTGTAGGGCCTTTTAAAACTATACTAATATCAGATTAGGCATCATATACGCATAATTGGAGGCGCATATCATTCTAGTTTAAGACACCGAAAGGATTATAATGATATAGTTCCTAGAAAAAGAAATATGATGATGTAAAGACAGAAAAACGCGAATTTACTAACATCGTTTTATCTGCAATACTTTAAACCTAAAAATTTATTATTTTTAGTGTTATTAAAAATTAACGAACACCATAATTTGATTGTGTGTACTATTGACAAGCTCTCATTGAAATTTCGTGGTTCTATGTTGAACGGATCAGGAGTAAAAAAAATAAATAGTGGAGCCGCGCACGGATTTTCCATAAGCCGTAATGTATTTCATATGACTCCTAACGTCACGTGACTTTTTCGAGCGCTCCGGCCTGTAAGTATCGTAGGCCTCGATTAAACTCAATTCACACTTTACATTTGTTTCAAAGCTTTCCCCAAGGTGCTAAAAACAAAGGTTGATGTACCTCCAAATAAATCGTCAATAAAAAAAAAAAAAAAAAAAAAAAGCTTTCCTGATTCTGTACCTCCTCCCCTTGAACTTGTTAACGTCCTGGTCCCAGTTCAGGTGGTAGGTATTTTAGGAGGGCGGCCCCGCTTTCTGAGTGGCCATTGATTTTCCAAAGGTGTACTATTGCTTTCAGAGTTTGCGACTCGCACTAATTAGGGAGAAAAGACCCCAGAAAGCTCTAAAAGGCCCTAAAAGTTTTCTCACAGCACTGAAGCAGTGGCGGTTTTACATATAGGCACACTAGGCACGTGCCTAGGGGCGGCAGCTTTAGGGGGCGGCATTTTTTGCACTATATTTATTTTAGGTAACATTTTAAGTTTTAAAATAAGCTCTAAGCCGTTAGAATTATTGCTAACATTTCATTTAGAGATGATTGTCGGCAAGCTTTCATTGATCACCAAATATTAACGCTTCCATCTATTTTTATTTTTACTTGTCATTGTTTTGTTAAGCGCAATGGACATTATTTTGTTAAAAATTGCGATGTTCATAATTATGACACCCGCAACAAATTAAATGCATTTGTCCCTTTTTGCCGTTTAAGTAAGACGCAAAACAGTTTTGATCATATCAATATAAAAATGTATAATTATATTCCTCCCAATATTAAGGCTTTACCTTTTAATTTATTCAAATCAAGAACTAAAGCATTTCTTATTGATAAAGCGTTTTACTCGTATGAGGAATTTTTCAGTTCAGAGTTCTTTTTGTTATAATTTTGTTTGTTCTTACATTTGTAATATTTTTATTTTGCTTTTGTATTGACTTATGTATGTAGGCTGTTCTACAAAACATTAAATAAGCTTTATTATTTTTTTTTTTTTCCTTTATTTGGGATTATTATTATTAACAAATTACAAATGACAAAAATGTTTAATTGAAATTATTGGAATGGTAGATAGTTATTTAAAGATTATTTTGTGGCGCATATCTTTCGGTGTGCCTAGGGGCGTAAAAAATTTAAATCCGCCACTGCACTGAAGACCGTCCCCTAGAGCGTTTTTGATTACTTGTTACCCACCTTTGTGAGGCCCTTTCCATCTCCACACCCAGTCCAAGGTTCCTGGGCTCTATTTAGGCCCTCAAACAATAAGCTTAGAACGCTCTAGAGCTGTAGAAATGGGATGCCATGCCCCGGAAAATGTTTGATTATCTCGTAAAAGACATTGATGAGAACGACGGTGACTAGCGTCCACAGGATTTGAGAAACCTTTTAAGTGCGTTCGTACGCTCTTTATAGTCTTACGGTTTCGTTTCAGGACAGTTAGTCTTTTCTTAATGTTCTAGACCTTTTTTCCGAGCGTTCTAAGCAATTTCTGGCTAGGATCTCCTGACCTTGGAAAACACCTAGGCACATGCGAACGCATTAGGAAGCACTAATGGCATTTTTTAATTTGTTTAGAGGGTCTTCTCTGGCACTACCCTTCCAGAAAACGTCCAGAATAGGTTAAATGCTCTAGGAAATGAGAAGGATTTAACAAAAGAAGGTTACAAACATCTGGAATAAGATGCCAAAAATTGACCAATGGGGAATTCTTTCTATGCCCTAGGAAAGTTTCAGGACCTTCGTGAACCTTTAGTCTCCTTTGAAAGCAATAGTATTCTCAATAAAGGTTTGGAAATGTCGCAGCGATCTTGGGGAAGGGCATCGTTAAAAGAAATTAAAAAATAGACTAGGGCCAACGGCAGAACATTGAGGCGCTTAAATATTTATATAAAATGCAGATCTATACAGGTTATTAACAAGAATTAAAAAATAGATTTGGACCAAGTACAGATACTTGAATTAAACCGGTCGAAATTTCTAGGCTCATAATTATGTTTATAAAAGACAATAGCTTCATATATTTCTGAGTGCATTGGTGCCATCAAAAAAGACCATACACAAAAAATAAATGCAATGCCCCCATATATTATATTTCGGACCGTATACGAAATACCTCAACTCCAACTAGCTTTTTAATGAATTACTGTCAGTACACATCCGCACCCCGGCACAACATAAATAATATAATTCTGACTTTAAATTTCTGATTCCAAGCAAACGATGCAATTGTTAAGATCAAACTCCTTAAACTCCAAAAAGGAAACTTACCTAATTTTGAAAGCACTTAAATCAAACTTTGGGCTTTGGGATTCTCTCCGAATCGTTAAAGGGATCGAATGAACACACGACTTGCATGAATTTACATAAAGCGGAATGTCTCCAAAAAGGTAACTTACCTAATTTTGAAAGCACTTAAATCGAACTTTGAGCTTTGGGATTCTCTCCGAATCGTTAAAGGGAGCGAATGAACACACGACTTGCATGAATTTACATAAAGCGGAATGTCTCCAAAAAGGTAACTTACCTAATTTTGAAAGCACCTAAATCGAACGTTGGGCTTTGGGATTCTCTCCGAATCGTTAAAGGGATCGAATGAACACACGACTTGCATGAATTTACATAAAGCGGAATGTCTCCAAAAAGGTAACTTACCTAATTTTGAAAGCACCTAAATCGAACTTTGGGCTTTGGGATTCTCTCCAAATCGTTAAAGGGATCGAATGAACACACGACTTGCATGAATTTACATAAAGCGGAATGTCTCCAAAAAGGTAACTTACCTAATTTTGAAAGCACTTGAATCGAACTTTGGGCTTTGGGATTCTCTCCAAATCGTTAAAGGGATCGAATGAACACACGACTTGCATGAATTTACATAAAGCGGAATGTCTCCAAAAAGGTAACTTACCTAATTTTGAAAGCACTTAAATCGAACTTTGGGCTTTGGGATTCTCTCCGAATCGTTAAAGGGATCGAATGAACACACGACTTGCATGAATTTACATAAAGCGGAATGTCTCCAAAAAGGTAACTTACCTAATTTTGAAAGCACTTGAATCGAACTTTGGGCTTTGGGATTCTCTCCAAATCGTTAAAGGGATCGAATGAACACACGACTTGCATGAATTTACATAAAGCGGAATGTCTCCAAAAAGGTAACTTACCTAATTTTGAAAGCACCTAAATCGAACTTTGGGCTTTGGGATTCTCTCCGAATCGTTAAAGGGATCGAATGAACACACGACTTGCATGAATTTACATAAAGCGGAATGTCTCCAAAAAAGGTAACTTACCTAATTTTGAAAGCACTTAAATCGAACTTTGGGTTTTGGGATTCTCTCCAAATCGTTAAAGGGATCGAATGAACACACGACTTAGTATGTGCGGTGCTTTTTTGGTTCATTAGGACTAGCATTTTAGGTTTTAGCAATAACCACATGAAATGAAATCAGTGACACTGCTTGAGTAGCACTTTACTAGGAAACAAAGTTTACAGCTCAGATTTCCATGTAATAGTATGTTGGCCCTGAGGAGTACCTTTTCTTCATTGCGTCCATAACCTTAGCATCGACTTTGTTGCCTTCCAAGATCACACGAGACAGCGCGGGTAGATTTTCGAAAACGTCCGTGTCCAAATCACTTATTGCGTTAGACCCCAGGTCAAGTAAGTACATTTTTGTAAGTCCCTGGAACATGTCCCCGCTGACATGTCGTAAAGGGTTGTCAGTCAATCGCAATATTAAAACTGACCCAAAACCCTCGAAAGTACCCGGTTTGATATCGGCAATTCCGTTGCCGCCCAAGCTTAATTCTTCCAATCGAGGGACGACCGGTATCGAACCCCTCTGTAATGTCCCCAACTTGTTGTAACCCAAATTAAGCGACAAAAGTGACGTTAGCGGCTTGAAAATGTCGGAGGGCAGAGTTTCGATGCCGTTATTCGACAAGCTCAAGTCGGCCAAGTTGGGAGCGGTGGTAAATTCGTCCCCCCTCAACGGGTGAAGTTTATTTCCATCGAGGCTTAGGTGGCGCAAATTGGGAAGAAGCTCGAATCCGCGATGGTCGATTGAGGTGAGATTGTTGCTGTCCAATTCGACCATGTCGACCTCTTGAAGACCCATGAACATGTCACGTTTTATTTCCGACAGGCGATTTTCGCGCAAGATTAACGTCCGAACTTCGGCCAGTCCGTCAAAAGCGCCTTGGTCTACGTGCTCGATCAGGTTCTCTGACAGAGTGAGAGATATCAACCTGTCCAGTCCTGCAAAGAGTCCTTTAGTCAGCCGCTTCAGTTTGGATTTGCCCACTGTGAGAAACTCTAAGTTCCTCAAGCCCGAGAAGCAACCGGATTGGAGCTCTTCAACATTAATATTCTCCAATTTGAGCACAATTAGGGATGGTAAATCGTTGAAAGCCCCACAGTCCATCCGCCCAATGGAGTTTTTCGCGATGTAAAGGAATTTCAGCGAACTTAACCCCTCGAACATGCTTGCAGTTATGCTGCTCAGCTGACAGTCGGTAAGATGTAGGTGTTCAACTTTTCCCAAATTCTTCAGAACCCCAGGCTCCAAATTCCCAATCTTGTTGTAGTTCAAGTCTAAGCGTTTCAGATTGGACAAGTTGTCGAAGATCCCCTTTTCCAAACGGTCGATCTCATTCCTGCTCAGGGACAGCGATACCAGCTTCGCGTTTCCGTCGAAAGCTCCACGCGGAAGCGACTTAAGCCTATTATTCTCCAGGTTCAAACTGCCCAGTTCGCTTAGCCCATCGAATGAGTTCGGCTCGATTACGCTCACGTTATTGGCGTGAAAGGTGACCTTCTCCAACTTGCTTAGACCTGCGAGCATCCCCGATGTGATCTTCTCGAGTTCGTTCTCTGTAAAGTCGAGCTCGGTAATTTTGGAGCAGTTGGCGAAGGTGCCGTCGGAAATTGACGTGAGCTTGTTTTTCGTTAAGGTAACTCGGCTGAGCTTTGACAGTCCCTTGAATTGTCCGTCCAGATTTTTCAGCTGATTATCTGAGAGTTCGATGGTTTCTATTTCCGGACAGTTTCCGAATAGGTCGCCTGGGAGACTTTCAAGCTTATTCCTGGATAGGTAGAGATCTTGAAGGCCTTTTAGGTTACCAAACAGCCCATCGGGTATACTTTTCATACAGTTGTCCTCTAAGTGCAGCTCTGTTAAGGTGCCCTGGTCGTGGAACAGGTGCGAGGGTAACGTTTCCAAGCGGTTGCCCTGCAGACGAATTGTTTTGAGGTTAGTTAATCCTTCGAAGGTATCACTCTGTAACTCGACCAAAGCATTCTCGCTAAGATCAACTGTTTCCAACGACAGCAATTTTGCAAACAGCCCTTTAGGTAGTCTTTCAAGTTTGTTTTCTTGAAGACGCAACCGGATCATATTTGGGGAACTGTCAAAGGCGCGTTCTTCGATGTCCTCCAACCCGCCATTGTAGAGGCTAACTTCTGTTAAAGCACGCATGTCGGCCAGCAATTCTTTGTAAAGGCGCGACACTCTAGCGCCAGAAACTAAAAATGTGGATACGTTGAACATGCCTTCAAACGCCCTATCTTCGATATTGTCTACTGTACCTAATTCAATGAGGAGTGCCTCCAAGTTTTTTAAATTTTTAAAACTGCCCTCAGGTATATTCGCGATATCGCAAGAATTACACCTTATAACCTTCACATGCTCGTAGGGCTCAAATGGACCAAGAAATTCAATCTTACTCCTCTCCAACTCCAATCCAATGAAATCTTCAGGAGAAACCTTATCGCGCTCAATGCATTCGTGAATACCCTCCTTCATTTGGTCCAAGGAATTGATATCTTCACAGCGTACTGACTTCGAAGTGCGATAGTAATTGCAGTGCTTCGATTGCACATTAGCCAATCCAATTAGGAGCAACAGCTTCAGGAATGATGCCATGGTAAACTAATAAAATCTATTCAGATTAAAGGGGATGGTAATTGAACTTACAAAGTATGATCCGAGCACTAAGTGCACCAAGGGTATTGTCGGTAGGTTAAATAGGAGAAGGTTGTGGAGTTTGTTTATGGCTGATAACGCACTTATCTAGTATTATGATTTGCTTGTAACTCCGCTAATTAGAAGGCCACTTTTAGAAAATGTTGATTACATTCTTTATGTTGTAAATATAAACCTTACTTGCACACTTCAAACTGCAAAACTTGCAAACTATTCCCCACATTAACCGTGGTTTCCCCGGATGTAGATTTGGAGACGAGTAGATGACGAAAAATTCGCCGGAAGGAGACCTACGACTTTTAAGGGATTAAGTTTCTGATAAAACCCCTCGAAAACCCTATAGAAAACCTTTGATTATCTCTCCCCAAAATATCACCAGGCCCTTTAAAGACTTACTTACATTAAGGTTGTTTATGGGAGCCTTAAACCACCCAAACGCCTTTCTCTGTTACAGAAACTAACAGAACAAACAAATAAAAGAGGTAGTAAATCACGCTGCACTTAAAAAATTGCGAAATAGCAATGCTAACGTGTGACACGGAGGCAATCGGATACTAAAACTAATTAATACACAAATCAATATAATTCGAATGAATTTACACTGGTAAAAGTAAAATTGTGATCAACCACGGGTTATCCTTACAATCGTAAGGTGAGAAATCTTGTATCATAATGTGCGAGGAGGTGATTGAAGGACCTAACCTAATTAGCACTCAAACCTAACCTCACTCATAGTTTAACCCACCGCACATTATATTCTCCTGATACAAGATTTCCCACCTACGGTCATAATAAATTCGTATACTGGGGTGTCCATACCCCAGACCCCCCCGGTGACAAGTTTTACCTCAAAACGTTCAGTCCTAAGTACTCTCTTCAGTAGTCATGGTGTTAAGGATGAACAATACCGAATCGGGGGGTTCTGGAGGGTATTCCAATACCTTCCAGTGTACGAATGAATTATGACCGCTTTAGGGAAATGTGATCTCTTGTTCTTTGGAGCCGGGGGGTGGTCCGTAACCCCCAGACCCCTCGGTTTGGTATTGTTCATCCTTACCATTATAATTACTGGAAAGAGTACTTAGTGGCTGAAACTTGGGGGGGGGGTCTGGGGAATGGACACCCCAGTATACGAATGTATTATGATTTTAGGTGAAACATCTTGTATCGGGAGAATATAATGTACGAGGAGATTGAAGGTTAGGATGAAGTATTAGTGAGGTTAGGTTAGAGTGATAGTTAGGTTAGGTGCGATATTTTGTATCAGGAGAATATAATGTGCGAGGAGGTGATTGAAGGTTATTTTAAAATATGAGTGAGGTTAGGTTAAAGTGCTAGTTAGGTTAGGTGAGAAATCTTGTATCAGGAGAATATAATGTGCGAAGAGGTGCTTGAGGGACCTAACCTAACTACTACTCAAACCTAACCTCACACTTAAACCTAATCTCCTTGCACATTATATTCCCCTGATACAAGATTTCTCACCTAACCTAACTAGCAATCTAACCTAACCTCAGAAATTCTTTAACCTAGCCTTCAACTACCTCCTCGCACATTGTATTCTCCTGATACAAGATTTCTCACTAATGATCACAATAAATTCGTATACTGGGGGTCCATACCCCAGACTCCCCGGTGATAAGTTTTACCTCAAAACGTTCAGTCCTAAGTGTTCTCTCCAGTAGTCATGGTGTTAAAAGATGAACAATACCGAATCGGAGGGGGTCTGGAGGGTATGGAATACCCTCCAGTGTACGAATGAATTATGACAGCTTTAGGGTAATGTGATCTCTTGTTCTTTGGGGCCGGGGGGTAGATCATAACCCCCAGACCCCCCCGGTTTGGTATTGTTCATCCTTAACATCATAATTACTGGAAAGAGTACTTAGGATTGAGGCAGTAGAATTTATTACTGGGGAAAGGGGGGGGTGGTGGTCTGGGGAATGGATACCCCAGTATACGAATTTATTATGACTTTAGGTGAGATATCTTGTATCAGGAGAATATAATGTGCGAGGAGGTTGAAGGTTGCGATAAAGTGTTAGTGAGGTTAGGTTAGAGTGCTAGTTAACTTAGGTGAGAAATATTGTACCAGGAGAACATAATGTGCGAGGAGATTGAAGGTTAGGATAAAGTATTAGTGAGGTTACGTTAGAGTGCTACTTGGGTTAGGTGAAACACCTTGTATCAGGAAAATATAATGTGCGATTGAAGGTTATTTTAAATTATGAGTGAGGTTAGGTTAAAGTGCTAGTTAGGTTAGGTCAGAAATCTTGTATCAGGAGAATATATGTCCAAGGAGGTGTTTAAAGGTTATTTTAAATTATGAGTGAGGTTAGGTTATAGTGCTATAGCACTATAACCTAACTATAGTTAGTATCTAGTATCAGGAGAATATAATGTGCAAGGAGGTGATTGAAGGTTAGGTTAAAGTATTAATGATGTTAGGTTAAAGTGCTAGTTAGGTTAGATGAGAAATCTTGTTTCAGGAGAATATAATGTGCGAGTAGGTGATTGAAGGTTATTTTAAATTATGAGTGAGGTTAGGTTAAAGTGCTAGTTAGGTTAGGTGAGAAATCTTGTATCAGGAGAATATAATGTGCGAGGAGGCGATTGAAGGACCTAACCTAACTACTACTCTAACCTAACCTCATTAACACTTAAACCTACCCTTCAATCACTTGCTCGCACATCATATTCTCCTGATACAAAATTTCTCACCGAAGGTCATATCGTAATACATTCATATACTGGGGTGTCCAAACCCCTGACCGCCCCGGTGATAAGTTCTTCCTCAAAACGTTCAGTCCTAAGTGCTATTTCCGGTGTTAAGGATGAATCGGACCAAATCGGGGTGGTCTGGAGGATATGGAATACGGGTCCGTTAACTTGCCCCCCCCCCCCCACCACTGAGAGATTTCATAGTCGTATTATTTTGAAATGAATGCGCTCGTTATGCGCTCATATGCGCCACCGATAATAACTCTTGCGCCATTATCGTTTTTTAGAAATCCGAAAAAACATTTGGGGGGGGGGGGCCAAGTGAACGTAGCCCCCCCCCCCCAGTACGTATTTTGTCCCTTGTAACTAGGTCACCTGATACATTTGGTTATGCGCTCAATTGCGCCACTTGAATTAAAGCTAGCGCCATTACGGTTAAGCCGTGACAAATTTTCAAAAAGTGGGGGGGCCAACTTAACGTTTTTAAAAGTTACTTTTTTTTAACATCTTTTCATACGAAATTGTACTCTCAGGTATGCGCTGAAATGCGCCGTAAAAAGATATCTTTGCGCCATTATTGTTTTTTGGATATCCTTAAATATATTTGGGGGGGGGGCCAAGTGAACGGAATCCCCCATAACGCATTTTGCTACCGGTATTTGTGCCACTTGATACATCTGGTTATGAGCTCAATTGCGCCACTTGAATTAAAGCTAGCGCCATTACGGTTAAGCCATAAAAATTTTTTAAAAAGTGGAGGGTCTAACTTAGCGTTTTCAAAAGTTATTTCCGGAAGTGCGTCCATTTTGAAAATATTTTACATCGATTCGGCCTTCGGAGTAACTCCTAAATACAAATTTTTAAAAACACCCTGTATAGTGTTTCTGAAACACTATAATGGCGCCAAGATTTTTGTTTACGGCGCATTTTAGCGCATGATGAAAGGTACGATGTAGTAGAAAAAACATGTTAAAAAACGTAACTTTTGAAAACGTTAAGTTAGCCCCCCCCCACTTTTTAAAAATTTTGTATGGCTTAACCGTAATGGCGCTAGCTTTAATTCAAGTGGCGCAATTGAGCGCATAACCAAATGTATCAGGTGACCTAGTTACAAGCGACAAAATACGTACGGGGGGGGGCTACGTTCACTTGCCCCCCCCCAATGTTTTTTCGGATTTCTAAAAAACGATAATGACGCAAGAGTTATTATCGGTGGCGCATATGAGCGCATAACGAGCGCATTCATTTCAAAATAATACGACTATCAAATCTCTCGGTGGGGGGGCCAAGTTAACGGACCCATGGAATACCCTCCAGTGTACTAATGAATTATGACAGCTTTAGGGAAATGCGTTCTCTTGTTCTTGTGGGTCAGGTCACACTATTAAAGACCTTCTGAAAGGTCAGCTAAAGGTTCTCAAGGGAACTGAAACACATTTGATGACTGATACAGGTTTAAGAAACTTTCAGATATCTACAAAGGCCCTTCAAAAATACATATTGACTTTTAAAGCATCGTTAAGGGCTCGCTGAAACAAGGGCTCTTCGAGTTTAAAGAAGCCTTAAAGGCTCGACTCTTAAAGGTTTTCAAATTGGTTAAACGATTTTTGAAGTCTTCCAAAGGGCCTTAAAGGCTCAGTTCCCTAATGGAAGCCTTAACTGCTCTTGAACAAGCCTCTGCTGCTCAGCTGATTGACAATGTGCCCTAAAACCAAGTTCCAGTACTGAAAAAGGTACCAATGAAAGAGACTTTATTACAAGTAGAAATTACGCACTTAGTGAGCATTTAAAATAGTGAATTCGGGAGCGGGATACTTCTTTTTGATTTCCTCGAGAACGGAAGCAGCCAGCTTGTTACCTTCTAATGGAACCTGCTCCAGTTTAGGAAGATCCTTGAAGATGTTCAGATTGAAATCGGAAATTTCGTTGAACTGTAGATTGAGGGCGTACAAATTGGCAAGACCCTTGAAAGTGTCGGCTTCGATATGGCTCAAGGTGTTATTGGCCAGGTCCAGGCGCGAAAGCACCTTAAAATCATCGAAAGTACCAGGTTTGATGTCGCCAATATCGTTCCCAACCAAACTCAAGAATTCCAGCTGGGGTCCAACAGGTATGGATCCCTTTTCCAGCGTCTTCAGTTTGTTGAAATCGATATTGAGGGTGGTCAGTGACGTTAGCGATTTGAAAATGTCGGATGGGAGGCTCTTGATTGCGTTGCGCGACAAATCTAGTAGGGTCAAGTTTGGGGTCATGGCGAACTCGTCCCCTTTGAACTTGTGCAGTTGGTTCGCGTCCAAGTACAGGTATTGCAAGTTTGGGAAGTAGTCGAAGAGATCGCAGTCAATTGAGGAAATTTTGTTGTCGCTTAGGACCAGCATGTCGATCTTTTCCAGACCGGTAAACATCTCCTTCTTGATTTTGGATAGATGGTTTTCATTCAAGGAGAGCGTTTCCAGCTGTGCAAGTCCCTCAAAGGCGCCTACTTCTATGTGCTTGATGTGATTTTCCGTCAGGTAGAGACTCTTCAAGCTGTCCAAGCCGGTGAAGTCTCCTTTATTCAGTGTACTTAGCTTGGAGTTCCTAATCGTGAGACTGGTCAGGTTTTTCAAACCAGAGAAGCAGCTGGAGGGAAAGGCTTCAATGTGGAAATCTTCTATTGTAAAAGAGTTTAAAGATGATAACTCCTGGAAGGCTGAGCAATCTATGACTTTAATGGGATTCTTAGAAATGTAGAAGTAGGTCAACGAAGTGAGTCCTTCAAACATCTTGGGGGTGATACTGTGTAGCCAATTGTTACTAATATACAGAGACTCGATCTGGTTCAAGTTTTTGAAAGTGCCACCTTCGAAACTCTTAATCCGGTTACTATCCAGATCCAATCGCCTTAAATTGGACAAGTTGTCGAAGATCCCCTTTTCCAAAGTCACGATTTCGTTCTCGCTTAGATATAGTGACTCGAGCTCTGCGTTTTTATCAAAAATCCCCGAAGGAAGTGATTTGAGCTTATTCTTCTCAAGGCTCAAGGTCTTAAGCGATGTTAGGTCGTCAAAGGACGAAGGCTCAACGGCGCTCATGTTGTTGGAGTACAGTTCGAGCTCTTTCAGCCCGCTTAAACCTTTAAACGTCCCAGAGGTGATTTTTTCGATTTCGTTTCCTGAAAGGCGAACCTCTAAGAGCTTGGGGCATCCGGAAAACGCACCGTCGGGGATTGAGGCCAACTGATTTCTGCTCAACATAACCTTGGTGAGCTCAGGCAGTCCTTTGAACACGTCATCCAGTTGTCTAAGTTGATTATCCGAAAGTTCAATGGTCTCCACACTGGGAGTTTTTTTGAAAAGGTCCCCGGGGAGATTTTCAATTTTGTTCAGGGAAAGGTAGAGATCTTTCACATTTTTCAGGTTGGCGAATAGGTCCGCCGCTATCTCTTTCAAACCGATATTCTGCAAGTGCAGTTCTTTTAAGGATTCCTGGTCGTTGAAGAGTTTCAATGGAAGGGACTGCAGCTGATTGCTTTCTAAGTGGAGCGTCTTCAGGTTCGCCAACCCCTTGAACGTGTCTTCGTCTAACGTACCCAACAAATTATCATTGAGATAAAGGGTTTCAAGCGAAGTCAGTTTTCTGAGTAGGGTTTTTGGAAGACTCGTCAACTTATTGTCGTAAAGGTGCAGTTTGGCTAAATTGGGCGAGTTGTCAAACGCTCCTTCGTCTATTTCTTCCAACTCGTTGCCATTGAAGTTGACTTCTACTAAAGCGTGCATGTCGGTGAATGATCCCGTGGGAAAGTGGGGTACTTTGGTATTGTAGATTAGAAGATTTTTTACACCGAACATTTCCCCAAACGCCTTTTCTTCAATGTTGCCTATTGTACTAGATCCAATTTCCAATTCTTCTAAATTCTTCATATTTTTGAAGCTTCCATTGGGTATGTTTGTTATGTTGCTAGTACTGAATTTTAGAACTTTTAAATGCTCGTAACCTTCAAAAGTGTTGGGTTCAAGGAATCCAATCTCGCATTTCTCAAGTTCCAAACTGTCGAAGTCTTCCATTGCCACCTTGTCCTCTTCGATGCATTGCTGGATGCCAGTTTTCAATTGGCCCAAGGAGCTGATACCCTCACACGTCATACCCTTCCAATAGCGAAAGTTGCATACATTACATTGCACACCGGCCAATCCAATAAGGAGCAACAGCTTCACAAGTGATCCCATTGTAAACTATTTGCGTACCTTAGTTAGCTTAAAGAACCAATAGGAATGCTACTCACCCAACGTACACGATAACTCACCAGAACTGTGAGCACGGGAGAGCAGGGCCGCTTCTTAAAGTAAAAAAAAGGGTTGGGAAACTTGTTTGTTGACGATAACGCAAGTAGCGGATTTGTTCATATCAAAAAGTTGATAAATGTAATACTTTGATGTAATTATCGCATCACTTATTCGTGTATCTGGGCGGAATGGTGTTTTTACCGCAAATCCTTTGCTAATTTATTTTCAAATTTTTAAAAATTGAACTCGAATCTCGAAAACTTTTTTAGTTCCTATAAATTCACACAAGCACACTAGTCCCGATTGTTTTAAAGCAAAACAAATGCCATTAGAGGGACAAGACATTGATCGACAAGGGCGCTTGTTATAGGTGCTTGAAAACAGGACATCAGGCGAGTAAGTGTCACTTGCAATAAAACTCATCTTTCGGGTAATGTGTCCCGAAAAATCAAGGAACATTAATTGATACTTTGGTATATGCCAGGCGTAGCCGCCTCTCCCAGAATTTAGTCGACTGTCGCGGGGATGCGTCCCCGGTAGGAACTAACAGGGGTGCATCTCCACCACTTTTGTTGACATTACGCCGGGCCGTGACATATGCCAAACAATGTGGTAAATTTTGTATATACGGCCACATGTATAACTGCATTAGAGGAAACTCTGCTTCCTGTTGATAGTCTCTCCCCCTTCGTTCCATTAGTTCACGATGCTTTCATCCATTGATTTCACCTTCTTTCTTGTTTCTCCCTTCCTTATTGTTGTCATCTCCCAGCCTCCCTTTCTGAATCCTCCTCCTTCTCCTTTTCGCTGCTTGTACTGCCGGCTGATTCTTCTCCCACCTCTAGTGCTTTCTTTTTTCATTTTGTGCTTGTAACTGCTCCACTCTTCCAATCTCCCCAATTCTCCTGTAACCGTCCTTCCATTTTGGGATAGGATTCTACACTGTCTGCTGCCATTCCTTGGGTTCCTGGTCCATACCCCCTGAATTAATTCGTGTAGTTTCTTTATTAGTAATTCTGATGCGTATTGCAGCAATTCGGCATTTTCCCCTTTCTCAGTTTTCCTATTATCTCCATCACCTTTTCTATCGTGGGGTAGACGCCTCCATTATCTGAATCTGTGCGCCTTGTTTCTCTTTCTGGAGCTTCTCCCATTGGTGCATATTTTTTGGTTCGCCCTTGTTTCCTCGTACTGTTTTTTTATGTGCCTAAACATTTGCGCATTCCTCTCCATTGGGCTAAGCTAGGCGATGTTCTCGGCGAATTCCTTGAGTTCATGTTGTTGAACATTCTATAAGAAAATTTTTCTTCCGGGTCGATCTGAGACAATTTTTTCTTCGGGGCTCAAAAAAGGCAGTAACCTTCCTTTTTTATCAAAAATCGACTGCACCAACATTTCTCGGGAAAACACTTTTTCTTATTAATTTTGGTGCGTAGAATCCAAAACAATTCGTACTTTTTCGATCAGTCTTCTCAATAAAAAGTTATAGACTAGAAACCAATTTCGAAAGAAAATTCAAAGGGCTGTAACTTTTGAACTAGTAGCCCAATCTTAGAACTGTTTGAAATTATGGATTCTACAGGCCACATTCTATAAGAAAAATTTTTTTCCGGGTCGATCTGAGACAATTTTTTTTCGGGGCTCAAAAAAGGGCAGTGTATAACCTTCCTTTTTTACCAAAAATCGACTGCACCAAAATTTCTCGGGAAAACACTTTTTCTTATTAATTTTGGTGCGTAAAATCCAAAACAATTCGTACTTTTTCGATCAAACTTCTCAATCAAAGGTTATAGACTAGAAACCAATTTCGAAAGAAAATTCAAAGGGCTGTAACAATTAAACTAGTAGCCCAATCTTGGAACTGTTTGAAATTATGGATTCTACAGGCCACATTCTAAAAGGAAATTTTTTTTCCGGGTCGTTCTGAGGCAGTTTTTTAGGGCCTCAAAAAAAGGCAGTGTATAACCTTCCTTTTTTACCAAAAATCGACTGCACCAAAATTTCTCGGGAAAACACTTTTTCATATTAATTTTGGTGCGTAGAATCCAAAACAATTCGTACCTAGGGGGAAACAACTTGGAATTTTTGTGTACACCCCTTACAATTAATTTGAATTAACGTGAATTAGTTTGAATTAACGTGAATTAATTTGAATTAACGTGAATTAATTTGAATTAACGCGAATTAATTTGAATCGAAGCGAATTAATATGAACTAACGTGAATTAATTTGAATTAACGTGAATTAATTTGAATTAACGCGAATTAACATGAATTAATTTGAATTTTGAAGTGAATTAATTTGAACTAACGTGAATTAATTTGAATTAACCTGAATTAATTTGAATTAACGTGAATTATTATGAATTGACCCGAACTAATTTGAATTTGTTTGCATTTCTATATCACTTCCAAGAAACAACTTTCGTAATTATAAACCGTTTTTTGACCAAACTTTATAACTCTTAAATATCTCGTACAAATTTGTGAATTTACACCTTTTGAAACAAAATGGCGGCCACTTTTATATTAGCGTCGAGTTTTATACGAGACGATTATGTTTTCTTCCAATCGTCCGATCGCTCGATGGTTTCATATCCATCGATTTAAAAGAGAACAGGTGGACCAATATGATAAAATTTTACAGGTGCATTCCTTATCAAATTTGAAGATAGGAGTTCATAAACTGGCAAAGTAGGCCAAAAAATAAGGAAGGCCCTTTTGACATCTCCGTTATTTATCAACCGAATTACATGAAATTTTGTATGTAGGCTACACGAAGTTATTGTGCACACGAGACAGACAGCAATACAAAATTATGAACTATCTCGAGGATCGTTAATGCAGTCGATCTCTCAATGTAAAGAAATGTCCTCAATTGGTCCAAAGTTGCGACTCTATCGTAGTTCATGGGATCTCAATGTGCTTCCCTCTCAGAAATTGTAGAGATTAGTTTTAATTTACATGAACTATTTTGAATTAACGTGAATTAATTTGAATTAACGTATATTAATGTGAACTAATTTGAATTAACGTGAATTAACTTGAATTACTGTGTATTAATTTGAATTAACGTGAATTAATTTGAATTAACGTGAATTAATTTGAATTAACGTGAATTCATTTGAAATAACGTGAATTAATTTAAATTAACGTGAATTAGTTTGAATTAATTTAAATTTGAATTTTTGGTGTACACCAAAAATGATACTTGTTTCCCCCTAGATTCGTACTTTTTCGATCAGACTTCTCAATCAAAAGTTATAGACTAGAAACTAATTTCGAAAGAAAATTCAAAGGGCTGTAACTTTTGATCTAGTAGCCCAATCTTCAAACTGTTTGAAATTATGGATTCGACGGGACAAATTCTATAAGAAAATGTTTTTTCCCGGACGATCTCAGACAATTTTTTCCGGCCTCAAAAAAAGGTAGTACTTATTTTTTAAAGTATTTGAATACTTTTCAATGTATCTGTATCTAGTATTCGCTTGTGCTGGACGTAAAAGTATTTAGTATTCAAATACTTTTTGAAAGTATTCTGCTCAGCTCTGATCCAGTCTACCTGGTTAATTGTCCCTCGTGACCTGCGTACCTCTATTCTAGCTTTTCCTCTTTAGTTCAATTTAATTTTAGCTTGCACCTCGTTGTCCTGTTGATTTGATTGCTACATTTTCTTGACCTCTTCACAATTTAATTCAATTCTCGCGTGTCTTGATAAAGACAAATTTCGCTTGGGTTTGAATGTAAGTTTCAATTTAGCCTCGCATTTCAAAATTAACGAGGAGCTCGCTAAGCACATCTGTACTTTTTTCCGCTCCGAACTCGACACCCCTTCGAAAACTCAAGGGAATATTAATTGATTTTAATTCAGCAGAACAATGCTCTAATTGTTACGAATTGGTGCTGTGTAGCAACGACGATTTTTACGTCGTGGAACTGTTTTATTCCCTTTTGACTCCCCAGACCAGAACAAGGATCCTTTAGTCGGCCTTGTTTTGTTTCTCCCTTTTTTCCTTCTCTCGCGACATTTACCATTTTTCCCTTTTGTTATATTTTTACTGGTAGCTAAGAACCAATAATGAAAACAACGCTCTATAGAATTTAAATGCGCCGAACAAAAATTTGAGAGTTAATTTTAAAATGGAAACTGCAAAGCTAAAAACCTCAAGATGGAGGACTGTTTGTACGAGTAGAAACGTAAATGTATAACTACGTTGGTTTAATACTGACACATTTCACATAAAAAAACTCGCTTGTAACGCACATGTTCGCCAATAAAACTTTTCGTATTATCGGAAAGTTTTACTCACTTCCGCTACGTTAAATTTGATGCTGTCAGCAGCATGAGACGAATTTCTAGTTTACCTTTTATGACGGAGCTCTGGCGAAGTTTTGGCTTCTCCTACCTGAAACAAAGGAAAAAGCGGTGAGTTTTTTCACTATACCATTCAATTGACTTTATAGGCAGACACCTATGTTCAGTAGTATTTCATTCAGTGTTCAAGACACCCTTGTGATGACTGCATTAGCCAATAAAACCTTTAATTTCATAACGAGCAATATTATAGAAGCATAACGTCCCTCTGCGATATTCTGCGCCAAAAGTTGTATAACCCAAAAATGCCATCGGGTTTACCAAGGAAAAGTAAGCAACTTATTTGTAATCTTATTCATTTGGAAAGAGAAATAGATAATTATTGTGGTCCACTTTTACCAGTCACAGCAGTAAGAGAGGTGGGTGGTTACTTTAGTAATATAAGAATTCGTATATGTAACAAGTTTCATTTGACAGATTTGCGGATGCATTAAATATTAGTTAGCAAACAGTAACTTCTATTTCACAAATTTCTAAATCCTAGTTCCTGTATTTATCCGGGCTATGTCAGGGTTTTTGTACCGTACAAGGTTTCCCTGATATCACCTGGTTGTGTTCATAAGAAAGATTTCGAAGAAAAAAAGAGGTGAGCAAGGGGAGACGAAGATGGGGAAGTTATAAATGGTATGAAAGATAGTTAAGGCGAGGAAGGCTATAGAAAAAATGAAGACGATAAAGAGAACTAAGAGGATGAAATGGAAAAATGAAAAAAAGTGACAAAGGCGATGATGCAAGGTGAGGACCATGTCCACAATGAGAACGGTATCGGAAATGAAGACAATAAATAGTATAACTATAAAAACTAATGAATGTGCAAGATGTCGTTTATGGAGAAGGTGAAGATGAATGAAGAGTAATGAAAGTGATGCAAAAGATAATAATGGCAAGAGCTGACACATAGAAACATGAGGTTGATGGGAACAATGAAGGTTTAATGAGCACGATGATGAAAAGGGGGGGATTGGGAGAGAGGAGGCGGCAATCTTCATGATTGAGGAACGCTATAGGAAGATGGGGACGGTAATCAGGATAATGGGTATCATGAAGATGATGAGGATGATGGTGATTATCTAGATGACGTGGACGGTGCGGATGATCAGGATGATGGGGAGTTTCCAGAACTGGAAAGCAGGATGACTTGCAGAATGTAGAAAATTTGGAGCTTTCGCAGAAGGCGAAGAATATCAAAGAACGTAAAAATCTAGGAACTCCTTAGAGCGGTTAGTAGATATATAATGCGGATCCTGAACCCGTTCAAGGTTGCTCGTCCTCTTCTGGTCAAGGTCAAGGGGATCCTCAAGGAAATTTGCAGTTATGCTAAGTCAGTGACCCAATCCTTTTGTAAAATTTTTCGAGGTTACAAAAGGTCATGGTGTGCCAAATTTTACTCCCAAGGTCATTAAAGGGCAATGACTCCATTTCTGTAACGTCATGTTAAGGTCATCAAAGTAGAATGACCTTTTTGTCATATATTATTTCATTCTTAAGGTCAATGACCCCATTTTTCGTTGTGTCATATACTCATATGGCATTTTCAAGGTTATTAAAGCTCCATTTTTTGCGGTAGTTTATTTTGAAGGTCAACAAAGGTCAAACTTCAATTAACCCTGTTTCCAGAAGGACCATCAGCTTTTGGAATGTTGACTAATAATGAAGGAGAAGCATTTTAAAGACTCACAAGCATCGAAACCCCTTAAAGAGCTTTGGGGGTTTCGAGAACCCTTAGAGACTCTTAAGGTCTCATAAAAAAGTCATTTAATGGTTTATAAATTTGCAAGACAAGTGTTTCAAACCTTCATAAGGCGTGCTAAGGTTTTGCAAAACTTATTAATCCCTCTAGAAACTATCAATATCTTCCAAAGCCTCCCAATTTTTTGGACTTTAAGGTCCAAACATTTTAGCGAACATTGAAGAATGTTTAAGAAGCACTAAAATCTTTAAATACGTCACTCAACACTCTGAAGCCTTAAGGCATTTAACATTTTCATGGTTTCATCTGTAAGTAGAGTTTTAACGCTTTCAAGGCATTTTGGGCTTTCGAAACCTTGAAACATTGAGGATATTCAAGAGTTTTAAAATCCCGAATCAGGCCTGAAACTTCTAAGACCAAAAATTCACAACGTTCCAAGCCTCCATGATCTTTGACATTACGAAATTTGGCAATTCATTTTAAAGAAGCCGGGGGAAATTTTTGAAGGCTCCCAGGGCTCTGAACATCCTTAAGGTTTTAGTGAATCCTGGTATTTACAAAACTTTTTAACGGCACTGTCTCTCGAGGATTCTGAAACTGTTGCTCTCAAGACTGTTAAGACCATGCAATTTTGTACCAGTCAGTTTGTAAGAATGTGCGTGAGTGGGTCCTTGCGGTAAACGATCATGCTCACTTATTGGCGTGTTACGAGGTGGTGCACATTACGATTGTAATAGGTTTCCCACATTGACATTTCGAATAATAAATAACGGGCACGTTTTAGAAGCAACATCGAGTTCAGATTGCTTTAGACCACTTTAAAAATTGCTAGAATTTATTCCCCAGAAGGCACTTGAACCGCTTATTAGCCTTTCTCGTCAAGAAAAAGAAATGCCAAGCTAAAACAAACTTATGCTAACAATGCGGTCAGTTTCATGTGTAAATAGGAATGCTCTCCCCTGAGTCAACTTGTATTTGAATGAAGCCAGTTTGTGTTGCTTATACGAATGAATGGAGTGTCGTGAAAGGCACTGGCGCATTTACCGCGAAAAACTAAAAATTGGACGCGACCCCGCGGTCAATAGTTTGTGTAATGCTATATTAAAAGTAGGTTAAGTACACAAATGCTTTTATTCGAATTCTTTAAGTATTTTCTTTCTTGTAGATTATTAAAGTCTGACGATTTTTTTTCTCATATGCTTCTCATAAGTGTTCCACCCTGTACATTTTTTTTTGAATTCTACTGGCAATAGCGCTCATCGAAGTTTTATATCCAAGCCGTCAATTTTACGAAAGCTACAGGGGTCAGCCTACTTTGGTTACAGACTCTATACGTTGAATTCTATGGAGGTCTTCCGTTTCTTCTGATTCATGGGATTTCTTTGCTTCTCTAAAATGCTGAAGACATTCCCATGTACTCCTCACTCTCAATATCTCCATCCCGAACATTCCCCATCATTCATTATCTCTATCAGAATCACCACCCCCACATCCTCAAAACTTAGAAAGGAGAAAGTATGAAAAAAGCAACCAAGGAAGAATTGGAACAGCAGTGGAAGAAACTGTAAAATTTCGTGTGGGATATTAGATGTAGGGAGCTAACAGAGTGATTGCTAAAACATCTACAAGAAGGGCGAAATGATTATGAGAAGAAGAAAGCAAATGTATAGTATGTGACAATAAATTAAAAAGCATAGATCATATGAAAAAGCATTAGAAGCATTGAAAAAGAGAGAGAGACGAGAGATATAACAAAACAGAGGGAAACAGAAACAACAAAAGGAGGGTTTTATTAAATACAAGTACATTTTTTTAGTTTAGAATGGTGGGATCTGGTTCAGGATACCTTTTCCTTATGGCATCCATAACGTTGGCGCTGATCTTGTTGCCTTCCAGACGTACACGTGTCAGTTGGGGTAGATTGTCGAAGACTTCCGGATTAAAGTCACCTATTTCATTGTTCTGAAGGTCGAGGGCGTACATTTTTCTAAGCCCTTTAAACATTTCCCCGTTTACAACCTTTAAGGTGTTGTTGGGCAAGTCCAATTCCAGAAGCGACTCGAAGTCTTCGAACGTACCCGGTTTGATATCATCAATTTCGCTCATTTCCAAGTTCAAATATTCCAGATGGGGTATGGAGGGTATCGAACCCTTCTGTAACGTCCCCAGTTGGTTTAAGGCTAGATTTAACGTTGTAAGCGACGTTAATGGCTTGAAGATCTCAGTTGGCAAGCCTTTGAGGCCGCTCTCCGAAAGATGCAAGACTCTCAAGTTGGGGATGGTGGTGAATTCATCGCCCCTGAGTTGTTGCAGTCTGTTTCCTCCCAGGTACAAGTAGGCAATTTTGGGAAGCAGCTCGAACACGCTAGGGTCGATGGAGGTTATTTTGTTATTGCTCAAGACGAGCATGTCGAGCTTCGGCAGTCCGGTGAACATCTCCCTTTTAACTTTTGAGAGCTGATTTTGATGCAGGTTTAACGTTTCAACTTCGTCCAGTCCCTCAAACGCGCCCACGTCCACATGCTCGATGTGGTTCCCTGATAGGAACAGCGTCCTCAGCTTGTCCATCCCCAAAAACATCCCTTTATTCAAGCGCTTCAGTTTTGAGTTGGTAATTGAAAGAAACTCCACTTTCTTCAAACCCGAGTAACATGCCGAAGGAAACTCCTCAAGATTAAAATTTTCCATTTTAAGCGACTCCAAGGCTGTCAAATCCTTGAAAGCCTCGCAAGATACACTCTCAATGGGATTCTCGCTGATGTACAGGTATGTCAAAGAACTTAAACCTTCAAACATGTTGGCTGTTATGCTGTCCAGCTTATTCTTGCTGATGGACATGAACTGGACGTTCTTTAAACCTTTAAAAATACCGGATTCGAAATTCTGGATCTTGTTGTTGTCCAAATCTAAGTGTCTTAGTTCAGACAATTTTTCGAAAATTCCTTCTTCTAAGTGCTCGATCAGATTATCGCTAAGATAGAGTGACTCCAACTTGACATTCTTGTCAAACACCCCACTCGGAAGCGACTTGAGCCTATTTTTCTCAAGGTTCAAGTTGTCAAGCCTAGTTAGCCCATCGAATGAGCTGGGTTCGATTTCACTCACCTTGTTTATTCCGAATGTGATCCTCTTTATCTCACTTAGACCGGTGAAGATCCCAGGTGTAATCTTTTCGATTTCGTTTTCAGTGAAGTCCAGTTCAAACAACTTGGTACAGTCGGAGCAGGTGCCGTCAGGGATTGATGAGAGCTTGTTTTTGGTTAAGCTAACGTGGTTCAGCTTCGAAAGCCCCTTGAATACTCCGTTCAGGTGTCTTAGCTGATTATCTGAAAGATCAATGGTCTCTATCTCTGGGTTGCTTTGAAAAATGGCGCTTGGGAGACTTTCAAACTTGTTTCCGGAAAGGTAGATGTCTCTCAGATTTTGCAATTTTGCAAAGAGACCATCGGGGATCTCTTTCATGGCGTTATTCTCCAAATGCAGTTCAGTGAGGGAGCTTTGGTCGTTGAATACTTGCGGCGGTAACGTCACCAAGCGATTGCCCTCCAGATGGAGAGTTTGAAGCTTAGTCAACCCATTGAAGAGGCCACCATCTAGCTCGACCAACGCGTTCTCGCTAAGATAAACTGTCTCGAGCAGCAACAGCTTCGCAAACAAGTTCTTCGGAATTTTTTCCAGTTTGTTTTTATAAAGATACAGCTCGACCATGTTTGGGGAGTTGTCAAAGGCATCTTCTTCAATTTCCTCCAACTCGTTGTTGTGAAAATTGAGCTCGTCCAAAGCGTGCATATCGGCAAACGCACCCTTGGCAAAATGCGACACTTTGGTTCCATAAATTAGAAACCTTTTCACATTAAACATACCTTCGAACGCTTTATTTTCAATATTGTCTACTGTGCTAAAGCCAATTTGGAACGTTTCCAAATTTAAGTTTTTAAAACAGCCATCAGGTATATTTGAAACATTACTGAAAAGAAACTGAATAATCTTCACGTTTTCGTAACCTTTAAACGTGTCCGGATCAAGAAACCCAATCTTACTCTTCTCGATCTCCAATCCGAAGAAATCTTCAATTGGCACCTGATCGAGCTCAATACATTCCTGAATGCCTTTCTTCAATTGGTCCGCACAATGAATTTTCTCGCAGGATATTGCATTCCAAAAGCGATAGTTGCAGTCCTTTGACTGTACAGCGATTAAACCAATTAGGAGCAGTAGCTTCACGATGAAGAATACCATTGCAATCTAGGACAGCCTATGTAGCACAAATTTAGCCACTGAAGTCACTTACCAAGTTTGAATGAAGCTGATAGATACTGTGTAACAAACGAAAGGTCGGTCGTTTAAATAGAAAAGGTCAAAGAGGTTGTTTACCAACGTTATCTAATTACATGTGTAAAAATTACATTTTTTCAGAGAAGGTATTCACAACTTTGACCCCATTTCTTGTGCAATTGATCGACATGTTTATGTTATGCCCTAGTTGGCTTCTTGGTACAATTTAAAGCACTTATCTGCACCAACACTGATGGGACGTGATGGGAATGTCATGGTATTCGAGGCAATAGGAGCCACAAGACAATAGTGATTTCGCCCAGTTTATCCACTAATTGTTCTTTCATCATCTCGTAACCATAGTAATCATTTTCTCACATTTTGTCTTGAGCTGGGGGACCGCAACTCTAGGGTTCCAAAAATTCACACCTTCAGCCTATGAGACTATGAGCTTTAGACCGAGTTCCCTGAAGCTCTGTTGTTGTGATACCGTGCGCTGATCACATTGTTTTGACTTTTAGAACTCGTCGTTTCATAACTTCTGGATCCCTACAGGTTGGCACTGATCTTCTATCTGAAGCCCTAAGGCTTTGAAACGACGAGATTGTGAAACTTTGAGAGAGTACGACGTTTACGCTTCCGCTTTGGCACTTGGGTCACATCAATAGCTTTTCACAGACTTGAACACCGCTTGATTACTAACACCTATCGTTCTTTTAGACCCTTTAGGGTTCTCCACATGTCTGCTCTCCAATAGGTTTCGACTGGCCTTGAAACATTTTGATGACCATATTGGGTCTCTAACAGACCACTTGAGAATCGTTAAGATTCACTTTTGTTATATTTTAAAGCGATGGTTCTCGGAAGATTCAAAGACTCCACAGAAGTTCTGGTGACTTTCAGTCCCTAAAAGCCTTTAGAAATCATACGATTTTTTAGTGTCAAAGGTCGTGTTTTTAAAGGTCTGTAGAGCCATTAATAGCGGCAAAATAGTAGAGTCGCCAAAACAGTCTTTTGCAGTAGTCAAAATTCTTCAGTCACGAGCGTTTACGGGCTTTTAGGAATCTGTGACGTTTCCTTAATAGTCGTACACTCCTCCAAGAGCCCTATTTGTCTTAAAAGTTTTTTAAGTGCTTGGGATTGAAGAACCTTTAAGGTCTTTAAGAACAGTTTAGAAGATTTAAACGGCTTTAAAGTTTTTAGGGGCGTTAAGAGTTAGAAACCCGTTAAGATAATCTTTAATAACTTCAAAGGAATTAAAGATCATAAAGGCTTTTGTGTTTTTGTGACTTTCAGAATCTTTTAGTGTCTTTACTGAGCTTTTAAAAAATTATTAAGAGGTTCAGAAAGTGTCCTAATTTTACTAAGGCTTTAAAAGTCTTGATGAATCATTTTGGGAGTCATCCATACTATTAGTTTTTCAAGCGCTTTATGACTCCTTTACAAAATTTAGCAGACTTATTGAAACTCTACAGCCTATAACGGCACTTTAGAAGCCTTACATGCCTTTAAGAACACTAAAAGACACACTGATTGATATTTAAGGCTACTGTGTAGCTTGCATGAGCTACTAAGTGACCGCAAGAATTGTCAGTAATCCTCATAGATTTTTAGTGGCATAACATCCAAACCTTGATGAGCCTATAGAACAATTTGTGGAATATAAGTATATTTAAAGCCTTTAATAGCAGTTAATGGCCGCGAACAGTATCCAAGGACTTCAAAAGGCATCTGCAAGCCCAAAGGTTTTTAGGAGACCTTAACCATTTTTCATACTTTTTGGAGTATTTAAGAAACTTGTTTTCAAGAACTTGAATTGCTCATTAAAGCATTTTAATTAGTCTTAAGAGCCTTTATTAACCCTTAGGGACTTTCAAAGGTGTACATAGTTAAAACGCATTTAAAAGGCCTGTGAGAGGCGTCAAGCATGAGTGTTCCAACTCGCTCTTCTCCTCCTCTCATCCGGTATTTATCTCCTACTTTTCCCTATTCGTTCTACTTCTATACATTCTATTATCATGTGATTATCTATCTATGTCTTTCTCTCCGCGTAATATACATTTCCTTCCTTTCTCTTCTCCCCACTTCTCTCTTCCTCTCTCCTCGTTTTCACCTTATTATTTTAATGTGTTTCTTTCCCTCTGTTAAATACTTTGGCACCCTCTCGGTTATCAGCCCACTGTACCTGTCGTTTCCTCTCGGATATATATATATATATATATATATATATATATATAGCGTTAAATTAAATTAAATACACTAAAATCGGATCGCAACTGATGGAGTGGTAACAAATAAATCCGCAAAATATACTTCTCGATGATAAGGTTTATTAACTTTAAGATACCGAGAACAAAAGATACGACCGTTTCTCCACCTAGATACCCTAACCGCTATGTTGACCTATCCAGCTTCGATACGCATAAACGTTCGTGTAAACATCCGAATATCCGGAAGCGCACGTATACGGCCCCCACGAAACCACGCCGATTTGTTTACCACTAGCGTTGTCCACAAGTGGTCCTCCGGAGTCGCCTTTGCAGACACCTTCTCCTGCTTTGGTAAGTGTGCAGATTTGCTCGTCGCTGACAGCCACACCGACAGGTGCCAATCTTGCCTTGCATTCGTCGAGAGAAATGGTTTTTAGTTGTATGTATTGCAGTTCGTCGGGAGTGTTATACGACGGATACCCCACAAGGCCCCATCCCGTCACCGTGCAGTTGGTACCCGGTGGTGGATACACTTCGGCTAGCCCTACAGGTTGAATTCTTACACCATATGTGATAGCTTCGTTCAGTTTCAGTATGGCTATATCGTCATTCAACGCGAAGCGTTCAAAGTCTTCGTGGATGATAATCTCAGAAACGGCGTAGACAGCCTGCTGGACGTCGCTTAACTTGTGATTCCCGGCAACAATCCTGAAATTCGCGGCATCCTGTCCACTGGAAGCATATTTTAAAAAAAATGGCTGAAATGTCAGACCACTTACCCCGAAACACAATGGGCCGCTGTCAGCACATGTCGCTCGTTAATAATCGATCCTCCACAATGATATACCCATTTTAATGACCAATCACGTCGCCATATCGCTATATGATAAGGGTAAGCGTTGTCGGGCGCAGGGGAGCCCCCGATCACTCTACCATTTTCGAATGTGCCTTCGACCGAACTACCTAAAAAATAGGTACGTCGGATCGGATGTCAGATTCACTCTTAATAATAATAATAATAATAATAGAGATTTATTGTCTAACAGAACAGAATATTCTAATTACAGAGGACAATACATAATTAATAGGTAGATAACGCGCAATTATTTAGTGTAAAAGAAAAAAGAAAAAGAAAGACACAAGAAAAACTCAAAATCTTAACATACATAAACAACAACCAAATAATCAATTTTCTAAAAAAAAACAAAATTAAAATGTAGACAAAATGTAAAATTAAAAAGAGCCGGTGTAACGTGACATTTTCTTTGTGACATATTTCAGCTAAGGCTGCTAAGCTACCTATCATGGTGTAAAATTAAACTTACCCCAAAACCCCAAGACGAGAAGCCAAGCAGTGACTAGCGTCATATTCAAAGCTATGTAACTAAGTGAAGATAAAAAGAAAGCAAGAACTTTTTTTTATATTTTTATACCTTCATGAGTGAAGATAAGCGTAGATAACACTCAGGTTTGTAAGTAATCTCATATTACGCAATTATACAATGCTGTTTTCTAAAGTCTATATAAACTAGTTGAATGAAAAATATTACTCACTTTCTCCGTTATTATATTTTATGGGAATAAAGCCTGATCGTGGAGCATCAAATATGGGTCGATGACGGGCCTGGTTTCTTGATATTAAAACCGATGCCAAAATTCGCCTACGGGCAGCTCAATTCTATTGCAATTAGGAAGTTGGACCTTTTCTTCTGTTTACCTTTAAAGCTTTAAAGCTTTTCTTGTTCATGGTTCAACTATTTGATTTCTGATAACAAAGTTAATCTCGAGATCTCATATAATGACGTATATGGAAGAAAACAACAAACTCCGTTTACCTAAAATCGTTATGAAATTTATTTTTCATTTGCCTATTATATGCCATATGATCACTCATATGAGATATATAAAGCAGTCTATGACGCCCGCGGGCATAATGGATTGTCATTTCATTATGCCCTCAAACGACCTGCAAAACATAGATGGAGATATATTATGTAATAAAAAAAGATGCTACTTGATTCGTATGCAACACTTTAATGTTGGGCAAACAATAATCATTACATTTGTATATCGGAAATGCATTATTTGGAACAATGAAAAATAAAATTTTGTATGCACCTCAGGCATTATTCGATATTTAACCGCTCTATTTCTATTTCATGCCTACTTTATGTCATTTTTCATGATCCCAGACTACTTTACCGACCGCACCTGTCACATAGCTGAATGTCTCTAATGACATCTGTCACCACTGACATATTGACATATAATCAAATGATCTAGATTGGAATTTTCTATACGATTTCGGATCTCTCATAATTTAAATTGAAAAGTACTTCTGTAAGGGCTGGAGCTGCAACAGAAGTGGCACGCTAAAAAAACATAAAAAATATCAAGATCTAGAGAAAGAATATGTGTTTATGGGACTTGCTTTCGAGATATGGTGCAAGGAATCGCGAGATTTTCTCAATAGAATAGGCAGAAGTTTAATTGCAGAATCCAGCGACAAACGCGCTAAGCAATTTTTATTCCAAAGGATATCCTTGGCTATCCAACGTGGAAATAGGGTACGTATCCTGGGCACTCTCCCAGCGGAAAAACACTTGTCCGAAATTATAATACTCTGTTACACAATTTTAAATATTTCGTTTAGATTCAATTAAAAAAAAATTATACCGTACTAAAAATCTTACGTAATCTAAGTGGTCACTTTTTATACAGGGTGTTACATGACCGCATGTAAAATACTATTGGGTCTTTTTCCGAATAAACCGAGGGTCCAACGTGTTTCGTTTGGGAGTCACCTCCAAAGAAGTGGTGAAATTTGGATTTCTTCTTTACTTTTTTACTCAGCAACCATAAGAGTTACAGAGATGGGTAGCACGTCTTTGAATAGGTTTTCGGGTATGCCCAATCCCCCTATTTGGGGGTGCGAAAAAATTATGATTTCGACCAAATTTGTTATCTGGGGTTTTTTTTAACATGAAAATGACGAATCTGCAATTAGTTTTTAGAGATTCTAAAAAAAAGTTCCACTGCAAATCTTGGTCGGACAAAGAAATTGGAGAGAATTCCACAAAATTTGTTGTTAAAGTTAAATAACTTTTCAAACAAAAGCTATTTACTCATTTGAAGATTGGGCCTTCGGGATACAAAGTGTCCCCCACCTACTAGTGAGTGATCTAATTTCGCATGCGGTTAATTGAAAATGTCGCAAATAACAAAAACATAACGATTTAAGTCGATGGTTGCTGAGAAAAAAATTAAAGAAGAAATCCAAATTTCACCACTTCTTTGGGGGTGGCTCCCAAAAGAGACACGTTAGACCCTCGGCTTATTTAGAAAAAGTGCTTGTCTTGATTCCCTCTATCACCCAATTTTCTGTTAACATGCGGTCCTGTAACACCCTGTATATGAACGACGCTCACTTCATAAGCCGTGAAGTAGATACCTATCTCGTAAATACTTCTAAATCGTATTTTAGGATCAATTCGGTCTTATCCTACTTGAGATAGTGGCTATCATCTGCGATTATAAAAACGATAAAAATTTGATTATTGTAACTTGTTGCTTATAGTAACAATAAACGACTTTCACTACGCGTTTCCAATAACATTAATAATTTTGAGTTATGACATTATTCAATTATGGATTATTAAGGATCACTCTAAAATTATATATACGTTTAGAAAGTGCCTTTTGTTCACTCATTAGCTCGATTAACTCGGGCTTCACTCTTGTTGTACACGACGTTCTTCGCAAAGTCATCCTAAATAACCTTAGATCATATATAGATACATATAGTCTCTCATCTGGTTTCAATAAGGGGCATTTGTGCTAACATACCTAACACAAGCAGAGATATTGTTCGAATGGATTGTATTCAATTTAAATAAAATAATAAAATAAAATTGCTTTTCCAACATTTTCCAGATTTCAGTTGGCTGTCATAATTGTAACCACTCTAACATTTCAATCATCGCACGAGTGAACATGGGTAATACGTCCCAATTTCCATTTTAACAGCGCCAACACATTCCTCGAATAATCTTTGGGTTTGTCTTGAACCATTTCAATCTCTACTGCAGCGATGTCACATATTCTTGCGAGAATCTCTTGCATATCTGAACGATTCTTTTGCATCTGGACAATCGGTAGATTTTAATTTCGCTAAAATCGGGTTCAGGAAATGATGTCAATGATCTGCTAATCAAGAAACTTGAATTCGGGCTACAATTCTTGGTTAACTAATTAACGCCTACAAAATGGCTTCTTATTAATGAAAAACGGCCATATTTAATCGTTGATTGGAGAGTGACTCCGGAGAACAAGGGTGCTGGAGAATGCGAGGAAGCGAGAGAAGAGCAGACGTCCCTAACGAATATAGTGCTAGCATGGTATCCGGAAGGAGTGCCATGCCGAGGAGGAGCGGAAATAACCGCTACAGCACGAGGGTAGCTACGTAGAACGTACAAGGGACAAAGGACGAAAACAGGGAGTAGATGTAGCCAGCCTACAGGAGACCAAACTAACAAGTGGGATGGCCGCGGCATGGAACTACGACTGGTGGATAGGAGGAGGGAAGAAGGAGAGAACCAGCAGAGGCATAGGAATCGTAATCCGGAAACATCGAGGCATTGAGCGGCAGTGATCGAGTAATAAAGTCAAGGGGATGGAGTAGATGTAGACGAAGCGTAAGAGAAAAATTAAAGGGATATAAGGACATAATGGCGAAAAAGATGAAAATGAAACCCGAATTGAGGAAGGAGGGTGGAGCCGGTAAAACCCTTTAAAAGTCCTTTATGCGCTTACAGCGTGCATTTAAGGGACTGTAGACTTTAACATTTGGAAACATGCTCAAAAGGTCGCCAAAACAGTATTATGGAATCTTTTGCGGTGGTTGCAGCTTGTAAGCGCTTGGAATGGTCGTGGTACCTCAGTATATCCAAGAAGCTTTGGAATTCCTCCCTACTACGAGATTTTCGAATACCTTCAGTTTAGGAAGTTTTAAGGCTCTTTTCGAGCCTTTAAAACGTACCCCCATTTTTCACGATATTCCATCCATCCATGTTTAGCCAGAGAGAATACAAATAAGGGCAATTCCCGTAATAAATTGCTTGAAGTCTTTTCGTAAGCTCAGCCGCCCCGTAATTCTAATTGACTCCCGGGAAATCACCAAGTAGGTTTTAAATGGGTTAGAGAAGGTTTTATTAAACAGAAAAATTACACATTAGATTCTACTAAAAAAACGTGGGATTTATTTCAGGAAACCTCTTCTTCATGACCTCCATAACGTTGGCGCTGATCTTGTTGCCTTCTAGACGTACACGAGTCAATTGAGGTAGATTGTTGAAGACGTCCGGATTCAAGTCTTCTATTTCATTGTACTTAAGCTCGAGTTTGTCCAGTTTTGTAAGCCCTTTGAACATTTCCCCGTCGATATACTTTAAGGTGTTTTTGGACAAGTCCAAGATCAGAAGCGACTCGAAGTCCTCGAACGTACCCGGTTTGATATCATCAATTTCGTTCTTATCTAGCCTCAGATATTTCAGATGGGGTATGGAGGGTATCGAACCCTTCTGTAACGTCCCCAATTTGTTTGACACTAGAATTAACGCTGAAAGTGACGTTAGTGGTTTGAAGATGTCGGATGGCAAACTTGTGAGGTCGTTCCCGGAAAGGTGTAACATGCTCAGGTTCGGGGCGGTGGTGAATTCATCACCCCTCATTTGTTGAAGTTTATTTTCTTTCAAGTCCAGGTCGGCTAAGTTGGGAAGCAGTTCGAATGCACTAGGGTCGATTGACGTGATCTTGTTATTGCTCAAGGTAAGCGTGTCGAGCTTTAGCAATTCGGTGAACATCTCCCTTTTGATTTCTGAGAGCTGATTTTGATGAAGATCTAACGTTGCAAGTTCATGCAATCCTTCAAACACATCCCCCTTGAAATGCTCGATGTGGTTCTCCGATAGGACCAGCGCCCTCAACTTGTCCATCCCTAAGAACATCCCCTTATTCAACCGCTTTAACTTGGAGTTGCTAATCGTAAGAGACACCACGTTCTTCAAACCCGAAAAACATTTTGAAGGAAACTCCTCAACATTAAGATTTTCCATTCTCAGCGACTCCAAGGTTGCCAAATCATTGAAAGCGTCGCAAGATACGGTTTCAATGGGATTCTCCTTGATGTACAGGTCTGTCAAGGAACTTAAACATTCAAACATGTTCGCCGTTATGCTGTCCAGCTTATTCCTGCCGATGTACATGAATTCGACCTTTTTTAAATTTTTAAAAATACCGGAATCGAATTTCTGGATCTTGTTGTTGTCCAAATATAGTCGTTTTAGTTCGGATAATTTGTCGAAAATTCCTTCGTCCAACTGCTCGATCTCGTTGTCGCTCAGATACAGCCATTCCAACTTGACATTCTTGTCAAACACCCCACTCGGAAGTGACTTAAGCTTATTGTCCCTAAGGTTCAATTTGTAAAGCTCAGTTAGCCCATTGAATGAGCCGGGTTCGACTTCGCTCACCCTGTTTGTTCCGAAAATGATCTTCTTTAGACTTCTTAGACCGGTGAAAATTCCAGGTGTAATCTTCTCGATTTCGTTTTCAGTGAAGTCCATTTCAAACAACTTGGTACAGTCGGAGAAGGTGCCGTCAGGGATTGTTGAGAGCTTGTTTTTGGTTAAGCTAACGTGGTTCAGCTTCGAAAGTCTCTTGAATAATCCATTCAGGTGCCTTAGCTGGTTATCTGAAAGATCAATGGACTTTATCTGTGGGTTGCTTTGAAAAATGTCGCTTGGGAGACTTTCAAACTTGTTTCCGGAAAGGTAAATATCTCTCAGATTTTGTAATTTTGCAAAGAGCCCATCGGGGATCTTTTTCATGCCGTTGTTCTCCAAATGCAGTTCAGTAAGAGAACTTTGGTCGTTGAATATTTGCGGCGGTAACGTCACCAAACGGTTGCCCTCCAGATGAAGCGTTTGAAGCTTAGTCAACCCATTGAGGAGGCCACTGTCTAGCACGGTCAACGCGTTTTCGCTAAGATAAACTGTCTCCAGCAACAACAACTTCGCAAGCAAGTTCTTCGGAACTTTTTCCAGTTTGTTTCCATGAAGATGCAGCTCGACCATGTTTGGAGAATTGTCAAAGGCACCCTCTTCCAGCTCCTCTAACTCGATATTGAGCAATTTGAGCTCGACCAAAGCGTGCATATCGGCAAACGCACCCTTGGAAAAGCGCGACACTTTGGTTTCATAAATTACAAACCTTTTGACATTGAACATACCTTCGAACGCTTTATTTTCAATATTGTCTACTGTGCTAAAGCTAATTTGAAGCGTTTCTAGATTTAGGTTTTTAAAACAGCCATCGGGTATATTTGATACACTAGTGAGAAGAAACCGAATAATCTTCACGTGTTCGTAACCTTTAAACGTGTCGGGATCAAGGAACCCAATCGTACTCTTTTCCATCTCCAACCGGTAGAAACCTTTAATTGGCACCTGATCGTACTCAATACATTCCTGAATACCTTTCTTCAGTTGGTCCAAAGAATGAATTTTCTCGCAGGTTATTGCCTTCCAAAAGCGATAGTTGCAGTCCTTCGACTGTACAGCGACAAAGCCAATTAGGAGCAGTAGCTTCAAGATTAATGCCATTGCAATCTAAACGCAGCCTATTCAGTACAAATTTAGCCACTGAAGTCACTTACCAAGAAGTGTGAACGACGCCGATAGACACTGTGTAACAAACGAAAGGTCGGTCGTTTAAATAGGAAAGGTCAGAGAGGTTGTTATCTAATTGCAAGTGTAAAAATTGCACCTTGTTTGATAGAAGGCATTGAAACCTTTGGTCACAAGTTGTTATGCAATTGATTGACGTATGTATGTTATTATTATTATTATTGTACCGTACAAGGGGGTTTCGATAACAAAGAATTTGATTGTAAGTGGACTGTAATTATGAATTACTTCCAAGGCCTTGTTTATGCTGGGAGTGAAAGAATATAGACACATAAATAAACGTGTATTACTAGTCTGGGCCCTCCTAATATAAATAAGTATAGTTAGTATAGGTAATAAATAGCGGTTAAGAAACTAGAATGTAAGTAGTTAACAAAGGACCTATTCTCGTCTAGGCATTTTATATTTTTCGTCAAGGGTAATTTAATTAGAATACTGTAACGTGATTTATAAATTCGGGTTCGATTTATATCAATATTTATTAAACAAAACTAAAACACTATAAAAACCATACAATTTATATCGATTATTTATATCACACACACTTCGCAATTTATTTTTCCGCGCTCTAATGTTTCATACGTACTCGATCTCGTTCGATAGTAAAAACTCCCGCGATGTTCGGTCCGCAACCATTTATACACGCAAGCAATGTAAGTCCAGTACATTCTCGAATATTCCTACACAAAATCCCACTATCGCGCGCGTAGAAAATTCCAGAGCGCCAAAGGCGACGTCATGTCTGGAGCATTTCCGTTACACTGCCCCCTTCTTAATTCTGGACGTCTCGTTCAGAAACTGTGTTAGTATTACTTTTTAATGCCTCGTGTCGGAATCTGCAGTCTGAGCCTGCTCGACAAACACCTTTCTTGAAAAAGTAACAGTCCACAGTTTTGCGGAGGGTTGTCCCCTGTGGGTTGAAGCAGCATACTGTAATTCGAACGCTAGTGTTTCTAAAAATCACTTCGATCATGGTTCGCACTATTTTCCAGTCCAACCCATCTAAACCACATCCAATCTTCGGGATCGCCAAGCTATTTATGTCATAGTATGCCATGAGTTTCTTTAAGCTTTTTAAAGCAGACCAGAGGTTTTCATAGGTGGGTTTGCCTTCTGACGTTTTCTTTGAAACAAAGTAGAACAAAGAGCGTTGACTATCTTCCAAGCGCAGTACTTTACCCACTCGTGGTCTTTGCTTTAACAACTCGTCCATTCTTCCAAATCTTTTCCGGAATACGGAAGCTATACCTCTACCCATGCGAAGGTCTTCGGCGACACAATGGGCGATGGAAACGTTAACCGGAAGCTCAAAAATATTTTGACAAATTTCCTGAGTAACGCCAAATCGAGCTTTCTTCCGCTGGGCGTAATTTGACATAAAATCGTTAAAGTTTGGCTCGATCCCAAAGCTGCGTTCCTCTTCTCGAATACCTCTAACTTCTTCGTTGTTGTTGGATCCGGCATATCGTGCGAGTCGATTAATGTGGACAACTTTCGGTTTCCGGTGGTTCATTCTGATACGATATATCACGTCATTTATTTTCTTGATCACCTCATACGGACCTTCCCATTGTCTTTGTAGCTTGGGAGAAAGACCTCTTCGTCTCTGTGGATTGTGCAGCCATACCAGATCTCCAGCTTCAAAAGTTTCATTGGCCGAGCGGAGGTTGTATTGATTTTTCATGCGATCGCTGGCAATCTGAATATGACTTCTAGCCAAGTCGTGAATATCGTTCATCTTCGCCTTTAGTTGGTCAACATAATTTTCACCTGCGACATATTCTTCATGGGGTTTACGCTCAAACTCGAGATCACATGGAAGGCGTAGTTCACGACCCAACATAAGGCAGGCAGGAGTCTGACCCGTGGTCTCGTTGACGGCTGATCGATATGCCATAAGGAACAGGTGGAGGTACTGGTCCCAATTTTTCTGATGTTCTGCCACGACTTTTGAAAGATATTTACCCATCGTTCGATTCATTCTCTCAACCATTCCATCTGACTGAGGATGCAAAGGTGTTGTTCTGGTTTTATTGGCTCCTAACAATCGACAAACATCTTGGAACAAAGCCGATTCAAAGTTCCTTCCTTGGTCTGAATGGATTTCTATAGGAACACCAAAACGTGTAAAGAACTCCTTTACCAACACTTCTGCAACTGTTGCTGCCTCTTGGTTTGGAATGGCGTAAGCTTCAGTCCACTTTGTGAAATAATCCATAGCGACTAGGATATATTTATTTCCGCCATCTGTCTCGGGAAACGGTCCTGCGATATCGATAGCAACTCGTTCCATCGGACTACCAACGTTATACTGCCTCATGGGCATAACTCACATGTTTGACACCATCGCCGGACATCTTCTTTACGGTTGACCCAATAGAATCGCTCACGTACCCTTTGCAACGTTTTCGTAATACCAAAGTGTCCTCCGGAAGCGCCGTCATGCAATTTTCGCAATACTTCCGACACTTTGCTTCTAGGTACTACTAATTGCAGCGTCGATTCGGTGCCATCTTCACTTTCAAGGGTCCTATACAACAGGTTGTCTTTCAGAGTCAGGCTATTCCATTGGCCCCAATAACTCTTTACTTCAGGACTTGTGGCACTAATGTCTTGCCAGCCTGGTCTTTGTCCGTGGCGCATCCAATTCAGAACAGTTTTTATACTTGGGTCGTTTTCTTGGGCCGTTTTGATTTCGCTTGGCTTCCATTCCTCACTCTCTACAGTTGTTCGCCGCAGATGGCCAATCTTGTCTTCTATTTTAGAACAATGTGTGCAGTTGTCCTTGCACGGTCTTCTTGACAAAGCGTCTGCATTATTGTGAACTTTTCCAGCCCTGTGTTCAATATCGTAGTCATATTCCTGAAGACGTTCTAACCATCTTGCCACCTGTCCTTCTGGGTTTCGGAACTGCAAGAGCCACTTTAGCGCTGCATGATCTGTCCTCATCAGGAACTTGCGGCCGTAAAGGTACTTATGGAAATGTTCGCATGCCTTTACCACACCCAGGAGCTCTCGCCTAGTCACACAATAATTCCTCTCGGGTTTCGACAGTACTTTGCTGAAATAGGCAATGACTCTTTCCTGTCGGTCTTGCAATTGGGAGAGAACAGCTCCAATGGCGGTGTTACTGGCATCGGTATCTAGCACAAACTTTCCTTCATTTCTGGGGTAGCCAAGGATAGGTGCGATAGTAAGAGCTTGCCGGAGATGTTCGAAAGCTCTTTGACAGTCTTCACTCCATTCGTACTCATTGCCCTCTTCTGTCAACTTTAATGGTTTGGCAATGTTGGCAAATCCTTTCACGAATCGTCTATAATAGGTGCACAAACCGAGGAAACTTCGAATCTCGTGCTTGTTCTCAGGAATCGGCCGCTCTTGAATCGCTATAATCTTCCCTGGGTCAGCTGTAACACCATCACGAGATACGATGTGCCCCAAATATTTAACTTCTTTTTGGAACATAAAGCATTTCTTGGGACTTAGTTTTAAATTGGCCTCTCGGAATCGTCCAAACACCTCTCTCAGGTTCTTTAGGTGTTCTTCAAAAGTTTTTCATACGACAATTACATCATCCAAATATACCAGACATGTCTGCCACGTTAGTCCCCTTAGAACTGCTTCCATGAGTCTCTCAAACGTCGCGGGGGCATAACACAATCCGAAAGGCATTATTACTGTGAATTGCCAAAGTCCAGAGCCTATAGAAAACGCGGTCTTCTCTCGGTCTGTCGATTCCATCCCCACTTGCCAATAACCACTCTTTAGATCGAGTGTGGAAAACCATTGGGCTCCAGATAGAGTGTCCTGAATGTAAGGATCGTTCTTCGATCCTAAAAACATAGTCTTACCTCTCTTAGTTTTGGAATGACATCGTTGAGCTTTTTATCTGGCTCTCAGAGATTCAGATCTTGCAAATGTGAGGCTGTGAGCATAGAACTTTGAGGCCTTGAGAGTTTATGACACTATAGGTCTTCCAAACCGAGTGGTTCTGAAGGTTAACTCTAGACTTTACAGCCTTTTACTATCGTAAAAGCGTTTACTTGCCACAAAGTACCAAAGTGATCCACTTTGTAGATACTTGTTACTTAATAATTAAGCAGTAAGGATCTAACTGGAATTTTAAAATGGCAATAACGAATATGTGCGCACTTTGTAACTTTCGTAAACGTGTTAGACTCTCGTTATTACTAATATGCGTAACATACCAGTTGGCGGTTACACATAAACCATAATAATTTATAACGTGGGGCATAAGCAGAATTCGGTTATCGCCTGTAACTTTTGAACTAGTAGCCCAATCTTGGAACTGTTTGAAATTATGGATTCTACAGGCCTCATTCTATAAGAAAATTTTTTTTTCCGGGTCGATCTGAGACAATTTTTTTTTCGGGGCTCAAAAAATGTAGTGTATAACCTACCTTTTTTACCAAAAATCGACTACACCAAAATTTCTCGGGCAAACACTTATTCTTATTAATTTGGGTGCGTAGAATCCAAATCAATTCGTACGTTTTCGATCAGACTTCTTAATCAAAAGTTATAGACTAGAAACCAATTTCGAAAAAAAATTCAAAGGGCTGTAACTTTTGAACTAGTAGCCCAATCTTGGAACTGTTTGAAATTATGGATTCTACAGACCACATTCTATAAGAAATTTTTTTTTCGGGTCGATGTGAGACAATTTTTTTTTCGGGCTCAAAAAAAGGCAGTGTATAACCTTCCTTTTTTACCAAAAATCGACTGCACCAAAATTTCTCGGGAAAACACTTTTTTTTATTAATTTTGGTGCGTAGAATCCAAAACAATTCGTACTTTTTCGATCAGACTTCTCAATCAAAAGTTATAGACTAGAAACCAATTTCGAAAAAAATTCAAAAGGCTGTAACTTTTGAACTAGTAGCCCAATCTTGGAACTGTTTGAAATTATGGATTCTACAGGCCACATTCTATAAGAAAATTTTTTTCCGGGTCAATCTGAGACAATTTTTTCTTCGGGGCTCA